ACTGGGTGTTATGCACAAACAATGAATCATGGAACACTACATCAAAAACTAATGATGTAATGTATGGTGATTAACATAACAATAAAAAAATTAAAAAACAAAAAAAATTGAGAAACAAATGTCTGGCCCCGAACTGACATACATCTCATCAGTTCACAGCCGATTTGCAAAGTAGTTTCCCCTAAGTTCCCATGGGCTGGGAACTATGGGGGTCTTCATGGTTATTAGGTGGGCAGTGAGTGTCTCTGCCACACACCCTATGAAATGGCAACCCTATTATCTCCATGTAACGACTCAGGAAACTGAGCTACAGAGAGACATCATAACGTTTTAAATTATCATATAACTAGTGGTGAAGAAGCCAAGCTAGGAGCCAGGGTGCCTAGATCCTGATCGACCCCTAACCTCTACAGTGTTGGCTCTTAAATATAACACGAGGGCTCCTGGGTGGCTCTGTCAGTTAAGGGTCTTCCTTTGGGTTGGATCATGATCCCAGGGTCCTGGGATCGAGTCCCACATCAGGCTCCCTGCTTAGTGGGAAGTCTGCCCTCCCTCTGCCCCCTGCCCCTGCTTGTGATCTCTCTCTTTCTCTCTCACTCTCTCCCTCTCGCAAATAAATTAAAAAAAAGAAAAAATATATATATATCACCAAGTGATAGGCACATATTGACCACACTGTTTACCAATCCCTGCCCAACCTGGAGTTCCCTACTTATGAAGAGACCTGGCCTCTGGGTCTGGAGGGGCTTATTTGGCAAACAGTGAAACCCTGAAGCAACAACAAGGAGACCCTTCCAGCAACAGAGGGTGGACTGAGAGTAGGGTTCTGATCCTCTATATAACGTTCTATAGAACCGAAATTGTGTGTCCACTTTTGGTAGCATCCAATCCTACCCTTCTCTTGCCCTATTTGGGTTGAAAGGAAGTAGGGTCTCCCCCAATTATTTATACTTTTTATATAATAGAGTTTTTCTCTCTAAATACTGTAAATACAATTGAAAAGCTAGGAAGCAGGATATTTCCAATAGAAGAGTTTATGTGAAAGGGGATATTTTGTGTTGCACATTCTGCTTCCATGGTGCAGATGGTGTGACCCCTGTTTTGAAAGGGAACAGTGACTTCAACATATTTCACTTAAGACTAAGGGTCATTGGGAAGGAAAAATAAAATAAGATAAAAACAGAGAGGGAGGCAAACCATAAAAGACCCTTAAGTGTAGGAAACAAACTGAGGGTTGCTGGAGAGGAGGGGAGGGGATGGGGGGGATGGGGTAACTAGATGATGGGCATTAAGGAGGGCACCGGATGTAATGAGCACTGGGTGTTATATGCAACTAATGAATCACTAAATTCTCCCCCTGAAATTCATAATACACTATATGTTAACTAAATTCAATTTTTAAAAAAATTTTAAAAAGATTACAGTTCACAATCTATTAGTCTCTTCAGGTCACATGAGGAAGAAAAACCATACCTGGTATTGGGAAGGATTTCAGGCCCTGTTTAGGGGATTGTCCCTGCGGTCTCCCCTGGTCGTTACTATTGCACACATGTCAGTGGACCATTGAGCAGGTCAAAGGACATGGTAGACATTAAAATGTCCATTAATGCCCTTTATCAAAAAAAATTATTCTTAGGTGTTCCTAACTCTTCGGTAGTAGTGTATAGAGTGAGTTGAACGTTGATCCCAAATCTCAATGTATCAAAATCTGTTTCTTTCCTTTCAGGTATTGCCCACTTATGATGCCCTTCTACAGATGGAGTATCTGGACATGGTGTTGAATGAGACTCTCAGATTATACACAATCGGTGGTAGACTTGAGAGGGTCAGTAAGAAAGATGTGGAAATCAGTGGTGTGTTCATTCCCAAAGGGACAGTGGTGATGGTGCCAATCTTTACTCTTCACCGAGACCTGGATCTCTGGCCAGAGCCTGAGGAGTTCCGTCCTGAAAGGTACAGGGAACCCTGGAAAGGGGAACCCACCTTCATATTGAAGGATATTCTGATATTTCCTTAGTATAGATGACAAGCATGTGGTTGTACAATTATTTGTTTGTACATCTTTTTATTTTTAGAAGTATTTTTCTTATTACAAAATGATCATTGTTGTCAAAATTTTGCTAACTGTAGTTGAGAAAAAAGAAAATTAATGTCATCACCAGTCACATACATCATTATTAATCATGTGATATATGTCCTTGTGGATATTTTTCTATGCATACATAGATTCCTAAAAGTTAGGATGGCATTATATATTTTTTGAACTACTTACTTAATGTAACAGTAAGCTATAAAAACATACTGTATTTGTGTTTGTGATTATATGCGTATACCATAATGTACTTAACCATTATCTCATTTAAGAAAATGGGGCTTTCTTTTCCTTGAAGTTTTTCTGCTCTCTCTAGCTCTCTGAATTTACTCCTCACATTCTCACATTCCATTTTTGTAACCCTGGACCGCAGATTCTGATAGCTGTAGTGTGAGAGCAGAGTTCACATTGCCGGCAGGAGGAACAGCCTCCTGAGGACAGAGGTGCGCAAAGGTCCTGTGCTGTCTGTGGCTGCAGTCCTGTGTCAGCTCCCACCTCTCTCAGTATCAGGGGTTCATCCAAAGCAAGCTCATCTGCTCTCTAGCCGTCTGAGACATCCTCCTTGGAGGGGTCTTGAGCTTTCCGTTTTGATCATTCAGAGCAGAGTGTGGCTTTGGGTGCAGCTTGAATTCTGCTGGTATTGGTGAGCAAAATTTGGATGAACTTTTAGGGATCTAGACGTTTAGCCCCTGCCCCTAACTCCCTGCTGGCAGAGCCCTTCTCCTGTTGCATGGTGTCCCTAGTATGCATCTACACATAGTACTTGCTGAAAGAACTCAAGAATGACCAAGTCCTCTGTTTTCTAGACCAGGGGACCTGATGGTGCCCATAAGCTCAGGAGTTCCCTCTCCTATAGCTTCTAAGTGGAAACCAGAGAGCACTCCTTATACCTGTCTGTGATTCATTCCACCATGAGAGGAAGTGCTTACCTATGTGTGTCAGGGACTGTGCCAGGCAGTATGAAATCCATGTATTAAAAATGCCTATTATGGATAATTTTATTGAAGATTTTATTTATTTGAGAGAGAGAAACAGAGAGAGAGAGAGAGAGA